CCACCCTCCGCATTAGCACCTTCCCTGCGGTAGGCAGTTCCCTTCCTTGTCCCGCCGCAGTCTCTTACCTCTTCTCCACCCAGTTCCTCTCCTGAGGACCCCTCCGTCACCCATCTGTCTTCCCCATCCCCCACCCAGCTGCTGCCGGCTGAGAACGCTTTTCCCGCGCAGCCCTCCCCAACACAGCACCCCATCGCGTCTTTCCCCCACCGATTTTACTGGGCCGGGCGTCTCCGCCTGTAGCGGCAGCGGTGAGGAGTGTGGCCAGCGCGGCGAAGAGGCGGGCAGTGCGGGCAGTGCGGGCAGTGCGGGCCATGGCGGCCGCGACAGGGGTAGCACGCCGGGGCTGGGGTGCTAGTGTGTTGGTGCTGTGCTCGCCGCCCCGCCCCTGGAGCGCCACTGGCCATCCCGCCTTCCAGACTCGCAATTACGGCCTTTCATTGGACAAGTAGCCATTCCTCTCCAACACAAGGCCCTCATTAGCTGCCTCTCTCTCAGGGAAGGCTCTGTCATTGGCAGCTTCCCCATCCCGCCTCCGGACTGTGGGCTCCTCATTGGCTGGCTCTTCATGCTCCAAAGCAGGTGTGCATTCTCCGGAGGCTCAGCATCAGGACCAGGATCCTGCCGTGGGGCGATTGGTGGAGAGAAAGAATTGAAGCCCCGACCTCCTGGGTTCCCAACCTCTGACAGTTACTAACTGTCACGTTACACGTGCCTTCTTTGTCTCATCCAGTTTCGCAGTTCTACCTTTCTCAGTGCTTGAGACAATCATGTGAGCTAAGGAAGGTGAAAACGGTTGGCAGTTTCTGCTAGCGCTGGAAATTGCTGGCCAGGCTGAAATAAGGCCAGATGCTTTTGAGGCTGCTGTTAGTTTTTTTTGTTGTTGTTTGTTTTTTGAGTTTCTACATACAGCTAATATCTCTGCCTTCTACCTAAAACAAAACCAAACAACCAAAAACAAAGCAAACGGTCTTCATTCACTCTCTACTCACAGGGGAGGAGGGGATAAACTCCCATTTTCAAAGACCAGTCAGCATGGCTAGTTTACCACACCGAAAGACAGATTTCTTCTAGCAGAAAATAAAGTTGGGGGTGAGTTTCAGAACAAGTGAACTCCATATTCACTCAGTTAGATTATGGCTGAGAGAAGGAACTGTCCAGGGATTCAGAGAATAGTAAAAGTGCATAAAGCTGGGGTCCTAAGTCAGCTTTCAGTCTTGATTTAACAGGGCCACACTGGATTACTAGTAAAATGGTACATGAATGTGCATTCCTCATTATCTTGAAGGAAAAATAAAACCTTTTGACAACATTTGTGTCAGAATGCAGAACCTTTTCACTCCCAAAGCATTGAAGCATTCACTGATAACTTTGTGTGTGTGAAGTTTTTATGTGCTGACTTAATCTAATTGTGTAGGGTTTTTTGGGGGGAGGATAAGGTAAATCATATTAAAGTAACTTCTTTACTTTGCTTTTAACTTTAGGGTCCTTTAGGTTGGGTATGTTATCTGTTGCTGTATAACTATCCCAAACTTTAGTGGCTAAAAGAAACAATTATTTTTTAAAAGATTTTATTTATTTTTAGAGAGAAGGGAGGGAGAGAGATATCAAGGGGTGGCTGCCTCTTCCACCCCACACTGGGGACTGGCCCACAACACAGGCATGTGCCCTGACTGGGAACTGAACCAGCAACCCTTTGGGTTGCAGGCCAGCGCCCAATCCACTGAGCCACATTGGCCAGGGCTAAAAGCAACAATTATTTATTTGCCTTACATTCTCTACTTTGAGCAGGGATGAGATCAGGTCGTCTTTGTTCCACGTGGTGGCAGGTGGCTCCACATTCACGGTGGCTCCCCGAGATGACTGGCAGGGTGGTTCTGGCTCGCAGCTGAAAGCTTAGCTAGGGCCCTCAGTTCCAGCCCGCAGGCTGCTTTGGTTTGCTCTTGGTTTGCTGGCTAGGTTCCAAGTAAGCATCCAGAGATAGGAAGGCTTGTGTCTAGAAACTGGCAGTGTCACTTCTACTATAGTCCATTGGTCAATCACAAAGTTCCAATTCAAGGAAATTTGGAGCCGTGCTTTAAAATCTCCACAGTGAAATTAAGAGTGTGGATGAACTCTGAGGGCACAGGAACAAGAAGTTACGTACTAAGACTGAGAATATAGGAGACGATGGATTATGGAACCAGGGTGTGCAGACAAGAATGGAAGAATGAAAATGCAAGGCCACATTTCAGGAGAGGGTGGCTCCAAAGAGGGCCACTGAGAAGGCTGGGTGTGTAGAAGCCTGAACAGAGGTAAAGACAAGGCCAGGCATAGGTTGGGAAGGACACGGCAGAACAAGGTCACGTGTTAGTAATCTGGTGTACGGGACGGCCGGAGGTCCAGCAGTTCCACTGAAGTGGTTAAAGCAGGTAAGACAATTATAACCAAGAAGCAAGCACAAGAAAATAAGGCAATTCCAGAGAGGATGGCAGAAACAGGAGTCCAGGTCTAAGTAACACAGAGGAACCAGAAAGAAGCCCAGTCAGGGAGGTGTAAGAACAGACAAGGCTTCCGCACGGGGGGGGGAGGGTGTGGAATGTCTACCCTGCATTCATTTGGCTGGATTGCTGCAGAATCTCAAGGTGCCTCTACTGAGCATCGAACAAGGTGGGTCAGCGGTCACTACTGTGACCATAGCATGCATGTCAACACACAACATGAATTAGGCAAACAAAGGCACTACGTGAGGACTGCAGTTATTTCAAGTCAGGTTTTATTAAAGTTATTTATTTCTGAATGTTTTATATCATCCGTAGTTTTCCCTATTTCATTTTGCTTTAGTGTTTAAGAACCTTGCTTCACTTATCAAATCCTTTGCCATGAAAGCACCAAAGAAATTCCATCAGTATCAAACCAACTGACTCCTTTATGGCAGTGAGGAAAACCTGTAAGATTTGTAGAACCCAAGTACTAAAACACCGAGATCCCCTCTTCAAGTGAGCCAGAGCTTCCTTACTTGCCCTCTGTAAGCCAATGTCTTTTCATATTACCATCAAGGTGAAAATAATTCAGAGCACCGACACCATTTTCTTGCTCCTTCAGCCTAAAAACATGAATTTCTTGTGTTATGGTAAAACAAAACAAAAAAACTCAACCAAAACAATCAGAAGCTGGAAGGAAAAGGAGCCACTCCGATTAGCTTATTAAGTTTCAATATTTAAACAGTTTTTAACCAGGATTCCCTTTTCCTAGACTTTAAGGCAGGTATAAAAATGTTGGAAAAACAATGTGTATAATAAAAAGCAATTAAAAATAAATATTTGAGGGCCTACTACAGTAGGCAATTTACACATTTCATTTAATCCTCACAATATTGTGATAAAATTATAACCATTTTACCAATAAGAAAGCAGGCTCAGAACACTGAAACGAGTGGGGCCCAAGGTCACACTGTGACTGAACCGGGACTCAGCTGAAGTCCATGCCCACAAGCCTATGCTTGAGCACGCTACCCCAGCTCCCAAAAGCCCTTCCACTTTTTGAGATTCTTACTGCTATGGCTCCATTTTCTAAATTTACACTTTTAAGTCTGCAAAACTACTGAATAAGAATCCAAAATTATTCTCAATCCGCTAGCTAAAACAGGAAGTTACAAGGAATATCAGAACATTCTTCAAGTAATCAGAACATTCCATACCTAAAATCACGGTTATTTTAATTCAATGGTAATTAACAGCTAGTAATTCAAGAATGCAGGAATAATTATAATGGGCTCCTTTTCTGACTGTCACCATCTGTTAGTTTCAAAGGAATACAGGCAAGTAAAGACAAATTCCCAATGTGAACTCTGACTGCTCATTAAATTTACACCATGCACTTAGTGGGATGCCAAGAGGTTCTGGTTTAAAAGTCTTACCACCAGTGTTTTGTTTACATTTTAAAAGCATGTAATTTTTTTAAGTGTCTAAATCTTGTGGAGATTGTAGGGCCCACTGGGGGATGGCTTATTTATACAAGTCTGTGTAGTATCCTAGAATTATATATGGTGTTTAATTTTTACCACTCCACCGAAATGGGTCAGAGTTCCAGTAGAAGTGGATTTATTTTGTGGGTAACTAACTTAAACCTAACCCTATGCAATTAAAACATATTAAGGAAAAGAAATAAACAAACCCCAATCCTATGCAGTCTGGACAGCTGACATTTAACTGTCTGCTGGGGACGCCTTCACATGCTCATTCAAGAGCTACTGCATCTTGACTGAAGTGGGTACCTAGTTGTTCCTCATTCAAATTCTCACTGAAATTTAGTCCATTAGTTTTACAGATTTATTTTTTGAGCCCAATTCTAAAAACACTGTTTTCATATTTCAGAAGAAGGGGGTAGGGTGAAATCAGGTCATCATTAAAGCCTCTTTGAGCATTAAAATAGCTGTAGTAACCTCTTTTCTGAAGTCTGATGTATCGCCCATTCCCTAAGTCACATGTCGAACAAACCTGTTACAAAACACCAGGCATACAAAGCAGGAACAAAAATCAAAAACAAACACAGGCTCACTGCTCCAGGTCACACACGAAACGGGAGTGCTACGGCTGCACTCTCTGTGACAGACAGGGAACTGGGTTGACTTCTCTGCATGCCCCGCCTTCCGAGTCTCGCCTGGGTCTTCAGCCCTTGTAAATGGGGATCGGAAAAGACACTGAGTGTGAAGATGGAATCTACCTGGCAGGTGCTGTAAGGACAAAAAAATGGCTACAAGGAAAATAAAATAAGAATAGGTAAAGTCCTGAAAATCCATACGTATAAAAACCAACCCAAGTGATCTACATTCATACAACTACAAAGCTTTACCACCTAAGTACCCAAATGCTGAGCTATTCCTTTTCCCCACAAACACCCGTTTCTATACAATTCCTGTCACAGGACTTAGAAGGGAATAATCAGTTGAAAACACATAAACATACATATACTCATTTCCACCTTTTGAAAAGATTTTGGATTGAAAGTCATCAGAGCACTAATTTAAAAATAAATTTTCTTAAACGTATTTTGATAAAGGCCACAGGAACACTTGTCACATTGTTCAAATGCCCAATGGCAAGACTTCTGATGAGACCAAAGAGGTCACCATAAATCAATACAGTATCTTAGAAATAAAGCCAATATGACTAAATCCAAAACAGACCACATGAAGTAGCTCATGTACAGTACAAACCTAGATTAATAAATAAAGGAACACGGTGGCGACGCTCTGAAGAACATCCAGCTCCTCACCGTCCATTCACAGTCTTCTCTGGGACTCCACCGCCACCTCCACCCGGGCAAGTCTAATGGTGCGGCCGTGAAGCTTGTAGCCATCTTGCCTTACCAAGGCCACCGTGCCGGGCTGCACCCCCACACCAGCCGGCACGTGGCAGATGAGTTCGTGCTCATGAGGGTCATATTTGTCACCAATGGGGGTCATTTTCTCCAGGCCGTGTTTGGCAAACACGTTTTTCAGCTTTGCTTCTAAAAGTGACAAGCCTCGGAAGATCTTCTCCAGAGTGAGCTTCTGGTCTCCAAGCTCTGTCTCTTCAGAAATGCACTCTGTAGTCTTCTCCAGAATGTCTGCCACCTCCACCAGGTCCTTACAGAAACTCTGAATTCCTATGGAGAAGCAGGAACTGTTCTTGTTTATGAGGAAACCACTCTGCCTTTGGGGGCGAGGTCTGGGGAAGGCCCGGGGAGGGCCAGTGTACTGGGCACAGCAGAAGTGGGATGACTGCCCACAGGACTCAGGGGTCAGCATCAGCCCAACCAATGAGCCAGTTTCCCTTGGCGGGCATTTGACTAGGAGGCCTCCTGGGAAATGCGGATGATGGCAGAACCCGAGGAATGACTGTTTACAATGGGCTCGGGGACTGGTCCTTTAAAACCATCTTTATGCTTCTTGTCTTTTTGTTGCTATTCACTTTTAGCATTGAGTTTTGAAAATTCCTGTCTGTCTCAGACATGTTGAGGCAACAGAGATGTTAGCATTTCATGGGAGGCCGTAATAAAAAATTAGCTGACAAGACCAGACTAAGGGGACTCAAAAGGGTGGTTTATTTTGAGGACTAGCTAAGTAGAAAGAGGAAAGTAAGACACATCCATAATGAGTCTCCAACCGCTTGCTATAAAGTTCTACATACTTGCTAGAGATGAGCCCAAACTATTTTACCTTTTCAGAGTCACACGAACTGTTATAAAAGCAAACTCGGTTGTTGAGAAATCTCATTACTCCCATTACTGTATCTTAATTTTCCCCATAAGAAGGATAAGCAACGTCACCACTACAGCTGTCCATGGGAATACCAGTGACCTGGTAGGGGATGGTGGGGGCAAAGGACTTCGTCGATCCAGCTTTAATCCAGGATGAGTTTTAAGGCCCTGTATCCAAACAAGAAGCCACCTCAACTGTATTCAGAGGGAATCAGAATACCACCAAGAGGTAAGCAATAAAAAAGACTACAGATAGAGGAATGACTGACAGAGAGGTGGGAATTTTTCCTTTAACTTTGGCAGGATAAGAGATCCATTATAGCTTCTTGAACCAAACAAGTAGATTGGGATTCAAATTAGCCTAATAATAACATACATAATGAACTTTGGGGGGCTGGCAGCATAATAGATGGGCAGGCAAGGAAGATATCAAAAAAACTAGGGGAGCCAATTGAAGTGATCTTGCTATGATATAGTCTGAAGGAGAGAAGGCAATGGAGAGGAAACAGTGAAAACGAGGTATTTCCAGGGACCCAGACTTGATGTGATCCAGGCTGTGGAAGACAACTCCCTGACCCCCATCAGGGACGGCAGCCAGAGAATATTAATGACTCTTAATGAGATCAGCTGTGAAAGAAGACCTTGGCCAAAGGCTTGAAAAGCATGCCCATAAGATTAGTATTTCACCTAAAAGAATGTCTTAAAAAGATCAATCAGGAACATGAAAAGTACCCCCCCCCCCCTTCCCTGCCAGTTATTCAAAAGAAGACAGACACTTTAATAGCATTTTGAAAGCTGTAAGCTTCTGGGCTTGCCTTGTGTGCTGCTGTGGTACAAGGAGCCCTGGCTTCTAGTCAGTAAAGCTGTGTAAATTGGGGCAAATAGAAGAAGCCTAGGTTCTTTTCCACTCTTTGATTCTATTCTAATTACTGTGTTATTTCAAAAGTGGTTAGTTCTGCATCATTTCTTAGTGGAAAAAAAGGATCCTTTGTGAACTGTTAGAGAATATGGGTTACTGAGACAAAACCATCCCTGGAAGAACAGACTCATGCCATGTCCTTTAAAAGCATCCTACTTTTTTCTCATTTCCATGCTCACTTCAATTTTCTAAGTATCCCTGGTTACAAGGAAGAAATGACCTAAGGAAACTTTTATGGCATGTTTTGCTGGACACATCTTGCTCTGTAAACAAATTAAATTACCTATTAAATTCTTTTGAGTTTAGTGAATATGTACTTGTTTCTGGGGACCTTGTTAATTCTTGAGGAAACTGATACGAGCTGGTTCTTAACTTAAAGCTTGTCTTCTGGTGAGCCAAGTCACCCTGCTCCCCTCAAGCAGGTGGGAAGCCTTCCCCAGTCACCACAAGTGGTCACACAGTAAATACACGTGTATTTGTAATCCTCACCTGAAGACATGCTTATTGATTGTAGAGAGAAGGGAAAGGGGAAGGAGAGGGAGAGAAACATGAATGCGAGAGAGAACCAATCAGCTGCCTGTTGCACATGCCCTGCGAGGGACTGAACCTGCAACCTAGGCATGTGCCCTCATCAGGAACCAAACCTGTGACCTTTCAGTTTATGGGATGACCAACTGAGCCACACTGGCCAGGGCTGTATAGTAAATATTTTACGTTTTGTGGGACAAGAGGTAAAATCAGGGATTTTATGTAGGTGACTATATAACAAAAAAGAAAATAAATTTTTATGAGTTTTTAATGACGAAACTCAGGACTTCATGGACTAAGAGGTGGCAGGCTTGGATGGCAGGCTTGGATTGTAGGCTGTAGTCTTGTAGTTGGAAATTAGAGACTAAAATGTGGATGAAATACCAGGAATACAATTTGGGGGTCAGTACTTAGCCTTTAGCTGGTAACTGAAGCCTTGAAACATGATGTCCACTGCACAGAAAGAAGAGCGAAGACTATACCAAAGTACCGGGGCCAGATGGGACAGGAGTGAAGCGACCCGAGGCACAGATAAAATGCCGAGAGCAGGAAGCAGTGTGACACCGGGGAAAGAATAGTCATCGAGGGGCCAGGACACAATGAGCTCACGTCCACATCTATCACAAATTCCCCTTTGTCACCTTACCTGTAAAAGACTGGACTAGATAGACCCAAGGGCCCCTTTGAGCACTTTCCTTCTACGCGTAGAGGAAGTATAATGTTACATATTACATTGTGAGCAAGTCACCACGGATTTGCGTTTTACCCTTGAAGCCCTGTTACTCAACTAACACCTTCAGGAACACATTTGGAACAAGATGTGGTGCATATGTAGAAAAATCGCTGAAACACTTTGAAATGGACCAAAAAGGTTATTCAACGTCATCAATGAAAATTGATGTGATCTAGCACAGCCTCCAGGGTTATTTGCTTCCATGGGGTCCTTATGTCTCTGAGTTATTTTTATAGCAGAAAGTTGAAAAATACTGAGAATAATACAAATAATTCTTGTCCACAATCGTAAAAATTGTCTGGTGGAGATACAATGGATTATTGCACTACAGATACAGACCAATTTTGCTTCTGTGAAGCAATTTCAGCAGCCCCAATTGTCAATGTGTCTGTTTTTTGAATTCTCCACTGAACACCTTGATGATTCACCTGTTTGTTAATGAGTTAAACACAACTGTATGAGCACTACAGTGGTTAAGTGTACATGCTTGGAAAAGAACACAACCAAGGTTTGATCAAACTAAAGATAAGCAGTATTTTAGTGAATGGTTCACTTGACATTTCCTATGAGTAGCACAGAAAACCTATGGGAATAAGGGAAGGGTAGGGCAGGGTAGGGATCAGTTAAGGACTCAGATGCATTTTCACGATGTTCAGTTGGCAGAACTGTTAGTAAGGATCTTAAGTAAGAATAAACCTCTCACCAAATATCTTGGCGTCTTCTACACATCTCTGGGTTCGCCTTCTTATGTTTTCACCATCAGCTACAGCTCTCTGGTATCTCACCTGATCATCAAAAGCAAAGTCAGTATGGTAAGAAAACAAATGCTTTTTGGTAGAAAAGAATGGTTTTGCTTATTTTACAAACGGTACCCTCATGACAGGGTTTAAATTAAAAGAAAAAAAGAGAAAAAAAAGGAGTTGTAGGAATTCCAGATCAGTTATTCCAAATGCCAAGGTGAAGCAGGAATCTACTCTTTATAGCAGCCCTGAAAGGCCATCATTTAGCCTGCTAGTTTTCAAGCTCATCTTGAGAAAAAGCCTCTTTTTCACATTCAGCCAACACTACCACCGTCCAACTTTTGTTCACGGAATTGAACTCTAAGACAACCAAGAGTATGTTTTAAAAACATGTCATCTATTTGAAGGCAGTTATTTCAGTCTCTTTAGTCTTTTTCTTTGTCATTCTTACAATCCCTGGTTCCTTTAACTGCTCTCATCAAACATCTTTCCAATTGCCTTACCTTTCCAGTTGGTCTTGTTTGTATTACTTTAATGTCTATCTTCGTCAAAGTGCATTTGTCACCCAGTACTGGGCACAGAATGCCTAAGGTAGTCTGACCAGCAGAGTGTAATGATAAATGACCTCACTCATTCAACAAATATTGTCAACTACCTGCCAAGCACTGTAGTTCCTCTAAAGCTACCAAATATCAGATACCCAAGGACTGAAACACAACAGGGAACTGAAAGAGATGACTATCCTTAGTCAGTGATACTTTTTAACTACTATGGATTATTTTGCCCAGTATATCTAGCAAGGGAGTGGAAGTGGGTGAGGAGAAGAGAGCCAATGAGGGAAAACAATTTTGAACAGATAAAATCTACTCACTGTTAAATCCTGGACTTCCTTTTCCAGTCTCACAGCTTTTAGCTTTAAGGCTCTTTCTGCAAGAGAGGGCCCCAGCTCATCAGGAGGGTCCTCAGAACCGCAGTCCTCCCCAGCAGTGCTCTGGGTGGCAGTGCTGAAAGGATGAGGACTTCCCCTAAAGTGGGAGGGAGGGAGCATGGAATGAAGAAATGCCGCCATTGACAGCCAAAGTTACAGTCAAGTTCAGAGACCCAGAAGTTTCCAGACTGAACTCCAGACAAAGTGTTTTCAGTCACGCTAACAATATGAACAATTATAAAGCTCTACTAAGTATCAGACACTGTTTTTAGGATTTTCCTTAAACCATCTTTTCATTTCATAACAATGTGTGAGATAAGTACTATTAGCATCCCTATTTTACAGAGGAGAAAACTGAGGCTCAGAGAAGCTTAAGACTTATTCAGGATCACACAGCTAGTATTCTATGCAGCCAGGATAACTGAGCACCAGTCAACAGACATAGCCAGAAATGGGGACACAAAAATTAGCAAGAAAAAACAAGCGCTGATACTCAGAACCAGTGGGGCATTTATCATAGCGGGAATTCAAACCAAAAAGCCATACAGCTGTGGTTCAATCCTTCGTTTTATAGCTGGGGTAAATAAAGCCCTGTAAAGGGACTTTTATCAAACTGAAGTTAGGCCTAGAGTTCTAAAGCTTCTCGATTATAAGCTGTAAGTAAGGCTTTTTTAGAGAGGAGAACCTGTGCTGAATAAGACAAAATTCTGAGATGCTAATTCAACTATATGTAAAATCAACTGAAATTAAATATGCATAAAACACTATATATTATGGACTGCAAATTATAAACAGATGAATCTTTGTATTCCATTATGCTTATAATCTACAGTTTTATACAGCTAAAATGTTTGACATTTCATTAGTTTACATAGGAGGAAGTTTAGAGTAGGGACTAATTTGTAGATCTTGGATTGTAGCAGTTCCTTCAAAGTAGCAGTTCCTGCCCCTCCTTCAATGAAGTTTCCAATATACCTGCTGGATAATTTTCTTTTAAAGACTTTATTTATTTATCTTTAGAGGGGAAGAGAAGGAGAGAGGGAGAGAAATATCAATGTATGGTTGCCTCTCATGCGTCTCCTGCTGGGAACTGACCTTCGACCCAGGCATGTGCCCTGACTGGGAATAGAACCAAGACACTCTGGTCTGCAGGCCCGTGCTCAATCCACTGAGCTACACGAGCCAGGGCCCTGCTGAATAATTTGATGTTAAGTAAAATCATCAAGAAAATTGGTGAGTGCGAAAGGTCTTTTAAAAAGTTTATTTATATAAACTAGCATATATTGAAGAGTGCTCGCTAAGGTGACACCTGAGCAAAGGTTTAAGAGGGTAAAGGGTTTGCTTCTAGAAAGGGAAGAGAGAACAGCCGGCCTAAGGTGTACCCGGCACAACTTTTATTCCCAGACTTTCCAGGCCAGTCCTGTGAGCTGATTGTGATCTGGTGTCAGATTATACATATGAAATGGCTTCTTCCTCATAAACTCCTAACGAGCGGCATTTATTCACAGAAAATAGGTCACAATATCCTCAGGACCAATTTAAAGGGAAAATGGCCAGAACACAAGTCATGAAAGAGAGTGTAGCTGTGGTGGATCCTTTAAGGTCCTACTGCTTCTGGAGTGCGGGTTAATTTTATCATAAGAAGCCATTTTTCTTCTGGTTACTTCCCTACCTTACAAACTGCCATAAAGACTTTAAAAAATTAATCACAATAAAAAATAAAGCCCGAAACCCTGAACTCAACCTCTCACCCAGGTGTTACAGTGGGGTGCCAGCTAGGTCAGGTGTGTTAGGACAAAAAGGTGACATAGTTATGCATATAGTAACTCCCCCACGAAACTCCCCCACGAATTCTCAGAATCCCCCACGAATTTATTTACATTTCAGACGTCCAACTTTATCCATCCGCCTACTCAGCCCTATTTTATTCTTTCCGAGAAAGTAGTAGTCAACAGTAGTCAATACTGCCGGAAAATAATCAACATTGTTTACTAGTTAAAAGCGCCGACTCTGGAGCCCTGACTGGTTTCCAGCCTGGGTTCCACCATTCCCCGAACGTTATCGCGGAAAGTTACTCCATTTTCCAAACCTCAGTTTCCTCCGTTAAACAGGGCCTAATAAAAATAATTACCCATAGTTCTGCAATCGGCATGAGTGATCGATAAAAAGTACTGCAGCCCATTGATTAAAAAAGTTACTGGAACTTCAGACTTCCGAAGCAGGAGAGGCCAAATCCAAAGCTCTCTTTTCCCGACAGGTAAAGTGACGCTCGGATAATGGGGAAGGGACTGGCGTTAAGGTCACAGAGGAGTCAGGGGAGAATATCCCAATTTACCTGCAGACAACCACAGTGGCGAAGAAGGGGCCGGGAGAGATACCCCCCCAATTCAATCTACGCTTGGGGATGAAAAGCTTTCCCACCTCCGAGGACGTGACCTTAGATCTTCCCACCTTCTCCGCCGGGCAAAGAAGCGCGGTGGTGGGGTTCAGTCTGCACCTCTGTACAAGGGGGCTGTGAGCGCCTGATAGGAGCGGCCGAGAGGCTTGATGGGTCCTCTCGCCCGCAACCCGCCCTCCGGCTCGCTCACCCCATACTGTCCTCACGTCCCCGACCCAAGGCTTGCCTCGCTTGCTTACCTGCCTTCAGACGCGGCACCGGAGGCCAAAAGGTGCTGCACCCGCCACCGGACCGCCCACATGGACCGCGCGGCCATGTTTCCACTCCAGGGCAACGGAAGCAGCGCACGCTCACTAGCTGCAAGTAACGTGATACGCTCGCTGGGGAAAAAAAAAAAAAACAAACCCAAAACCTCGCTACCCGGCAGCCCTCGCGGGCGATTCCCTCCCAGGGCAGCCGGACGCTAACATTCATTTCCGGTGCGCGGTGCTGTTTCCTCCCCCCTCCTCCTCCCCCCGCCCCCCCCCCCAACACTTCTGGTCTTCAAGTGAGTTTCTCGCGTAGTATGTGTTATTGTCACAACGATGAGTTCGGTGCTAGCTGTGGAGTCTGCGGCGAACAAAGGGATCCCAGCTGTGCTCTTTTGAAGCTTATGTGAAATTATAACAACAAACAAATGCAAAGCCATATAAAGTCAAAATAAGAGCAAGGTTTAAAGGTGAGGGGCATGGTGCTGCGGATGCCTAGAGTACAATATGGCCGAACATGCAAAGTTTTCCTAATGGAAATAATATTTGAACTGAAAGCTGAAGAATGAGTAGATGAAACAGCAGGAAAGCAGTTCAGGTAGAAGTAAGAAGCTTCCGCGAAGACCCAACAAGGAGGGGAGAGTACTGCGAGTAGGGGCTGAAATACTGGAGGGAGGGGAGAGACCACAAAAGACGGATGGTTGGGCGTGGCCACACGGTCACCTCAGGGATTAAAAAAATAGGAGCCTGATACCCCTCCTTCATCCATCACTCTTCCCCGCTTTCCCCCTCCAATTTTCTCATTTCCTCTCACTAAAATGTGAGTTCCATTAGGGTAGAGATTTTTTTTGTCTGTTGATTTTCAACAGTCAGTCTGCTGATGTAGATCACCGTTCTTTCTGAATGCACTTGAGTCCTATTCTGAATGCAATGGGAGCATGCTACAAAGTCTTTACAGAAGTAGCCCTTTACTGTAGGGAGGAGATCACAGGATGTGAAACTGCGAGGACATAGGGAAACAAGCTGTTAGGAACAGCAAAGGTGCTGGATCACCTCAACAGAGACCTTCTTAACCACCTTATCTAAAGTAGCTACTATTTTAGGTGTGTCCAGAGCATTTTTGTTTCCATATTAGTAATTTATTTGCCTTCTTTTTTGTTTGTTCTCCCAATTAGAGTGTGAGTTTCACGAGGGTGTTTGTTTTATTCACATCTGGTACAGTAAGTAGGTGCTCCATAAATATTTGTGGAATGAATTAATGAAGATGAGTGCAGATAGGAAGAAGTGGTTGTATTTTAGAGATATTTAGTATGGAAAGCTGCACAGTTGTGAGGATGAACTGATGATTGGGATTGAGGGTATTTGGAGTTTGCAAACTAGTTACTGGATGGCCCCTAAAGTTAAAGGAAAAAAATTAAGGGATGGGAGTTGTGCTTTTATCACTCTGTGTGCATATGCCATGACATGGCTTACTTGTAGCTATTTGGGCCAGATTTTCTCCCTGCTTGTCTGTGAGCTCCATGAAGACAGAGCTGTAGTCTTTTGCATTTTTCTATTCTATCCAAGGCCCAGCTCAGATATGTTGAAGCCAACACCTTGTTTCCTTTTGGCCTTAGGAAAAGAGCACAATGACTTAAGGGGGGATTATGAGTCCCTTTTACATATAAGAAAATTACTCTCAGAGAGGTTGGTGAACCTGCTCAAGGTGCCCCACTGAGGATTAGTGACACTAGAAATCTGATAGTCCAAACATCTGGTAGTGTAGGGAAGGATAGTTTCAAGTTCAACTCAGATCTGTGAGCCTATACTTTGAAAAACAACCAAACAAACCATTTTACAATCAGGAGCTGGCATGTATGCTTTAGCTATTTTCTTTACGATTCTCTTAGTTGTCCAACTTACAATGTATTGCATATATGCATCCATTCATTAAGTGCCAGTGTGCTTCTGAATGCTTCAGTGCACAGGGAGGGGGGAAGCGGATGAAATGGGGCCTTGGAACTGAGAGCAAGGCGTCTAGGGTCAGGCCTTGTGTTCACATACTGGCTCCCAGTTACCTAACCTCTGGGTTTCCATTTCCTGTACTGTGAAAACTGGGATAGTGTACCTATCTCACAGGATTTTAGTGAAGACTAAAGGGATAATGCCTAGAAAAGTCACTAGCACCAGGACTGCCTACATAAGTTAAAGGGCAAAAGGAATATGTGGAGCCCCTTGTTCTAAATGTATTAAGAGTACAGCAGCAAGGCAATCAACCAAGCACAGAGCCCTGCTAAGCATGACTGCACAGGCAGCTTGCTTGTGAAACCTGCTCTGGCTGACATAGTGCCTTATGCATGGTGAATGTTCAGTAAATGTTAACTATTAATTTCCTAGGGTCCCACTTCTCAAAGAGTCTAAGATCTATTGGTGGAAAAAGATACTTAGCTTCAAAATAACTGTATGGGAGACAATGAGGGCACAACTGGGTTGTCAGGTGACATTCCAGATCCGCGTTTTTAAAGAGCATATTGACAATACAGATTATGTGAGTGCCTTTGTCATTGAAGATACTCAAGTGGAATCTGGACGAAAACTCAGTTTCAGATTGCTTGCCTTATAGTTTTTGCTGATTATGCAAAAGTCATTTCTTCTTCAGTGGAAAGGACACAGGATTTTGAGCCAGACATTTCTTATCCAGTTAATAGTGAGAACCACCAATGACTGGGCATTTAATATTTCTCAGACACTGTGCAATATGCTTCCCATGTATTATCATCTTATTGAATTCCCCCAACGGTCTTGGGAGGAAAGTACAGTTGTTAACTTGGTTTGATAGGTAAGGAAGAAAAAAATCAGAGAGGTCAAGTAACATTCCCAAAGTTACAGCTATTAAGTGGTAGAGGCAAGGCTCAAACCCAGCCCTGTCCAGATCTGGGCTCTATAAGCCCTAAGCCTTATGCTCTGCCACTGACCAAATGGGCATTTTGGGTCAGGTTATTTTTATTGCTCTGGTCTCCAGCAACCTCAGAGGATGGAAAAGTTTGGATGAGGCTCAAGTATGTAAAGCCTTAGGCAGGGTGAAGTATGTGAAGCCTCTAGGAAAGTGTCCAGAAGTTACGGTATTTCCCTTCTCTCTCATTGAGCTAACGTCTGAGTGCACACAGCTGAATAATTTTTCTTTGTTGGAGGGAAATGTGTTAAAGACTTATAAAGTGCCTACAGTGTTGAATAAGTGATGAGAGGCACCATAAGGAGACTGACCAGGACTTGAAGTCCTTGTTCCTCTATAAAAGTATCAAGTGTTTTAAAAGGCATTCATGTAGCAGAAATGAGCCACTGTCCTCTTGGTTCTCCCTGATAGTTTTTCCTGAGAGCAGATAAGGAAGAGCAGACACTCGGGCCTCTCAGTGCAAGATAAGGATAAACATGTAAAGAGTCACAATTCTGATCATAACTCCTAGAGCCCGAGAGTCATATAAAATAGATAAAGGATTTAAATGACAGCAAATGACCCCACCCTACAAAGTTTGCAACATCTTGTGGACATTAGAAATCCATGCTCCTGTCACTGAGTATCACTCTGAGCTTCAGATATGTCAGTTACTGACTCTAGCTTTACCTCCTGCCTACTCAGATCTCTGATATGAAAACAACCCAAATCTGGAGTTCTGGTAGTTGCACCTGCCTAAAGCAGATGTAGGATGACTGTGGAATTTGCATGTTTTCTATAGCTTTTGTTCACCTTTATGTAGACAGGGATAGTTTTATTAATTTTTCAGCCTATTTATGTTGCCCAAAGGCTGTCAGTAATGACAACACAAATCCAACTGATGCAAGTGTGATTGGATGATCAAGTCTTTTCTCTGTATTGCACCACTGATGCTTCAGCACTGCCTTCCTTTGCTCTGAGGACTGGGAATGGGATGCTGAGCATGGGATGGAATGGCTTATTCACATGTGCTTTCATTTTCAGAAGGGAAGGCAAAGACATTTAACAAAACCTTTACAACTGTGCAGATTTTGTCTCCCTCCACCCCCATTTTCCACCCTCTGTAAAGTTATATAAAGATGCCCTTCATTTCCCTCTTTCCTTCTACTTCTTCCCTCCCTATACCCCCTATAATCATGCAGACAATAAAGGCTGGTGTTTTGGGTGCCCCGGAGAGTGGGGGCTACTTTCGGTCTTCTGCTATCGCCTTGTGAGAAAAGCATTTCCTCCTTAGTTGGGCAAGCTGGTATTTCCTTTGGATAACACTCTCATCCTCTTTCTAGGTCTTCTTCATTTCCCATTCCTGAAGTACAGAAAGACAAGACAAAGTGGTTTGTTGAATAGTGTAGTGTGACTTGTAGAATAAAAACATTTCATTGCACCTAGTTGTATAAAGATCTCCACTGGCCATATTAGACAGCCATAGGTCTCAGTCCTACTCTCTTTCTTTGGCTGTGGTAAGTCATTTCTCCACACTGGGACTTATTTCTGAGGGGGGCTAAAATATCACAAAGCATCTTTCTCAGACAAGAAAACAGGCTCAGAATGAAGAGTGGAGTGGGGACTGCCTCTGGCCCCAGTGCTGTTCCACAGGACCTTGCTGGGGTGGGGGTAGGAGGCTGATGGAGGAGGAGCCAAAGCAGGTTATTAAGGAACAGTGAGAGCAGGCCTGTCACAGGGCTCCATTCCTTCTCTAGGGCCTGTCTAGGAGTTCATCTGAGGGGATATTGAAATAATGACTAACAGTGGATGGCTGTTTACCTATGTATGATGCATGGAGTTTCTAGCCAGCCCTGGAGGTGATGGTGTGGCAGTTAGAAAATTGTTGGTGGGAGGATTCTCCAATCCCAACCTGCTCCTCTCCCAGTCTTTGCCACCCAAACCACAGTTGCTCAGGTCAGTGACCTAAGAGTCATCCTTGATTCCTTTGTCTTCTGCACCCTCCACATCCTCTTCAGCAAATCCTTTGGCTCTACCTCCAAAGTTAGCCACTTCATATTAACTCCACTAAACCTTTCTCATCTGGTTCTAACTGGCCTCTCTCATCCCCTCATCCATTCTCAACATAGTAGCCAGAATGGTCTTTTAAAAATATAATTCATATCCAAAAATTCTTTGCTCAAAATTTTGCCATTGACTTCTCATTATGCTAGAACAAAATCGAAAGCTCTTCCAGCAGCCTACGAGAATCAAGGATCATGTTTATACAAAAACATTTAGTGAGCCAGGTTTGTATGACCTGTAATCTGAGAATGGTTTTCACATTTTTAAATGTTAAAAAATATCATTTTTAATGATGTGAAAATTATATGAAAGTCAAATCTTTGTGTCCATAAATAAGGTTTTATTGGGACACAGCCACGTTCATCAGTCATTTACATATTATCTATAGCTGCTTTCCTGCTACAATAGCAGTTAAGTGGTTGGGTGACAGAGACCATGTGTCCACAGAGCCTCCGATATTTATTGTCTGGTCTTTCTTCACATCAAAAATTTGCTGATGTCTGGTTTAGGTGATCTGGTTCCTGACTGGTTAATGCTTGGATATTTGTTTTTCAGGTCGTCGCTTTCTCGTCTGCAATTCTGAAATCCAGTAAGTCCAGAGATCAAAATTTTTCTTGGTACAAACTCATGTGGTGGCAAAACCTATCTATAATCTCTTTATTCCATATGATATGAATATTCATGTATCTTGTTATAGAATTATTAACATATTTGCTTACAGGGTACCTCCTGAGAACTTGCATATAGTATATACACCATATTATCATTCTAAAGTCCAAAATGTTCTGAAATAAGCTGGACCCAAGAGTTTCAGAGATGGGATCGTGGACCAGTCTCATGGAGTAAGCCCTGAACTTGGAATTGGAAGGGGTGGATCTGCAAGGCATCTCTCACAATGGTGTTCTGCATGACCCTTTACCTCAGTTTTCTTAACTATGGAACACTTCTTTCCTGTCTCAAAACACACTGTAGGCTCAGAGACCACAGCTTGTTAGAACTATGTGTTAAGAAAAAGTTAAATAGGTTCTAAATGAGATTTGAGGGTCTTTTCTTCTGAGCAAAGCTCAGGCATTTTATTGTGTTTGTGTATTGGCAATTCTTTGCCTTTCTCATTAGCTGACTGTTTTTGTTTCTTGGTGAGTTCCCATAGAAAGGAGGCTGGCCGATCTCTGAATTTTGGTTAGCTGAGCTATTGCTGTACCTTGGCTTTTTGCAGCACCCGTCCTTGGTTGGAGGTTACAATTGATGGGCTTCTTTTCCTTAGCTCAGAAACACAGTTGACAGGTGGAGGTTGCTCTGGGGCATTATTCTGGGATTTATTTGTAGTTTCCTGTAGATAAGAAAATAATCACATAGGTGAAGTCTAATGCTGGCTACCTACTCCCTGCCTGCCCTCAAAAGAATGCACATAGAAGGCTCTATGCAAACGTGCCAGCATCAAACAGGGTGAGGGGAGGAAGACGCTGGAGGACCTTGGAACGACAGCTAAAATTACTGAACCCTCACTATGTACTAGGCATTGGGACCTGGGAGGATTAGCTTATTTAGCCTTTTCAAGCCTATGAAGTAGGTACTATTAGTTGTCTTATTTTACAGATAAGAAAAATGGGAAGGTCAAATCACTGCTCAGGGTCACATGGCTGGTGAGTGGGAGAGCTGGGATTTCTAACCCACAGTCCTATCTCTTACCCTCTCCCTCTTCCCATTTTCTATACTGCCCTGAATCCTTAAAATTTCTAGATGATTGCCCTTAATACCTTACTGTATGTCGTTCCTTAAATGAGACATATCCATAGCTTTAGCCTGCAGGGAATTTAGAGAGGACTTTTCTTTATGTCCAAAGGCATGGAAAGGATCAAAAGTGGAGGGAAAGTCTTCTGGAATGTGAACATCAGGGCGTGCGGGTGGGAGGAAGCAGCTGGGACGAATGAACCACTTTTAGCTCGTCCACCAGCCCTCGGTGACTCTGTAAAGTTGTTTGGTCCCTGGCCCTTAATCTCTTCATTTTTAAATGGGGTTGGAAATGCCCCATGGAGAGGAGTGTAGGATGTGAGAAAGAGCCCTAGCTTCCCAGTTATAAGGTACAGTCTGACCACGTAGCTGTGACCTTGGACAACAATGAGATTAAATGACAATGCACACTTATCAGACAAATTACTTCAGTTCTCTGAGCCTTAATTTCCTGGTCTAAAAGCAAGTATAACATTTATTCATTTGAGAAACATTTATTACACTCCTACTATTTTTCAGACTATTTAAAGGGCTAGGGCTATAATGATAAAAATATAGTTCAATTCTTAATAAAAATACTATCTAGTTGAAGAGACAGACTCCGGACAAGTAAGGATAGAAATCTCTCTCTCTCTGTATCTATACACACACACATTGTGGTGAAGTGCTATGAGGAAGAATAGCCGATAAGATGGAAATGTTGGTAATTTAGACCAGTGGTTCGCACATGGGGGGCAGTTTTTGCCTTCCCAAGGACATTTGGCTATTCTTGGATGTCATAACTGGGAATGTGGCACTGTTGGCATCTGGGGGTTAGTGGCTGGGGATGCTGCTAAACAGCCAGCAATGAACACTGTAGTCCCCTAGAAATAGAATTATCATTCCTAAATGTCAATAGCGCTGTGGATGAGACACTGTGACATAAACTTGGGTCAGCAGAGTTCTCCCTGAGGAAGTCTCATTCAAGGTAAGAGTCTCTGCCTTGCAGTGTTGCTGGGAAAATTAGATAAAGGGTGCAAAGCCCCAAGAATATGGCCTGGTACACTGGGGATCCCGGAGGAGGGCATGTGCAAGGTGGCTTACACAGGGCTCTGGAGTCTGACCTCCTGGGTTTGGGATCCTGTCTCCCACTTAGCTGGTGACCTTGAACATTTCACACCTCTGAACCTCAGTTCCCTGGTCTGTCAAATGGGGTGAATGCACATAGTACTTATTTCATAGGACTGCTGTGAAGACTATGTGAGCTAATACTGGGCAAGATACTGTACTGAGCTGTGGTAATTGATCAGCACAAGTCTGTTAGTCTTATTCAAACTATAGTAGTTATCATTATCAGTAAGGCTGCTTCTGAGACTGCATTCAGGATTCAAAGTCAACTGGTGATGTGTCAATGGAAAGAACACAGGTCAGAGAACTTGCTGCAAGAGTTTTCTTCCTAGGTCTGCCACCAACAGCATGTCCCTTAGGGTCTGTTTTGTCACCTGTATGTGAGCATAACTCTTAACCGCTAAGAGCAATCAAGATGTGTGGCATGTGAGGGCATGAAGGAGCAGCTGCCCCTGGTGCAGCAGGGAGTGGACTCACTCCACTCCTGTTCTTGCTGCTCACGGAGAGTCCCAGGGCTGGGCCGCCTGCCAGAGACTGCTGTAAGCGCTCCTTCACAGCCACCAGCCTCAGTTCCAGGTCGATCCGGTGCTCCTCCTTCGCCCTGCACTGAGCTTCCAGGGTGGCCACGGCCTCCTCCAGAACCTTTATCTTTGCTCCTGTGTCCAAAGACATTGATGAAAAATAGCTGAGCCTGGCCTGAAGCATCCAGCAGTTTGGCAGGACCTCGGCCTGTACTCTGACCCTCCCCCACCCAGGGCCTTTCCTATTCTCAGTCCTGATTAAGAGATGGACTCTGGGCCTGGGGTTTTACTTTCTCAATACCCATATTCCTATCTTCTGGATACAGAACCCTGATTTTCCACTGGGAAATCATCTCTCCTCTCTCATTTGTTATAGTTTAGATGGGGCTGACCTTACTCCTAGTGCAAGGGGTTGGCACATAACTTAGTCCTGGGACATAATCATATCTCATTTTCTGGTCACAGTGATGGGTTTAGGGATCAAAGGTGGTCAGAGTGAATCCTGAAGTGTTTGTGGGGGCCATAGGAAAGAGAAGTTCTCTCTGCTGCGGTGGCTGAGAGGATTAGGTGAGGGCTGGAGCTGCACAGCCATTTGCACCATGAGGGGCAGAATATGAAAGCAATGTAGAGGGAGGCGGAAGGAAGAGTTAGAGAAATATGCTTTCCGGTGATATCATTTAAGTCCCTGGACCTCATTATATCTGATGGTTCAATTTTTCAGTTGCAGTTTTTTTAAAAATTTCTAAGCCAGTTTAACTTTGGTTTCTGCTACTTGTAACCAAGAGTCATAACAATGACCAAGGGTTCCTCTAACTGAACAAACCTGTATTAGAACATTCCTTGTGCCAAGAACTATGTTGGGCCTTACCAGGTTTAAAACTTAACTCCATGGTTTGCTCTGAGACAAGCACTAGGTAGTGATGGATTCTTTTCATTCATATAATTGTCCATTCAGTAAACACTTATTGGGAACTTGCTATGTACCAGGCACTGTCCATCATTCCAAGCATCTGGACCAACATCTCACACAGTACTGAAAGTGAGCGGAATTGCAGCTATAGAGAGAATTAAGAGGAAACAGCAGAAATTGGGATTCAGAGGAGCCCAGAGCAGGCAGCACCTATGGAGATCACGGCCCTGGATTTCGGAAGAAGATCCTGGCAAATTTTCACTGTTCATAGTTCCCAGCACCTGGACCAATGTTTCATACAGTCAGGTGCTCAGCACCTGTGAATGAACGAGTTAATGTGAGGTTCAAAGTGGTCTTTTATTTCTTTGATTCTAGGGCACACTCTGTTGTTCACATTTTAACATTTCTAAAATTAGATTCTACCTCACCACATTAAATGTACACATTTTTGTGATGCGTTTTCATCTCTTTACCCCAAAGCAGCTATTAAATACATGGCACTTCTATTAGGAGGGGTGATGATGACGACGATGATGGTAGTGGTGGTGACACTGAGGAAAGGAAGAAGCTCATCGGTCCTGGGTTAGACCCCAGGTGATCTGTGCTAAGGAAGTGTCCAGGCTGAGCCTCCCGAGGGCCCTCAGGGCCATACCCATGCAGGTACCTGGGCTGTTCCGGAGGGCATCTTTCAGCTCCCTCTTCTCCTGCCGCAGCGCCATCAGCTCTGTCCGGATCGTCTCCTTCTCTTTCTCTAGCTTCTCTTTTTCTACCAGGTACCTCCGGGCATCCTCCTCGGCTCGGTTCTTACCGTACTTGTATTGATTGGCACCTGAGGAGATGTGAGGCAAAGGCCCTCAGTTCTGACCTCTGATAAGGGTGCTTGGGCAGTGTTAGCTTCTCTCTCAGCCTTAACCTCTCCATCTACACAATGGGAATGTTCAGATCTAATCCCGTACATATATTTAGTGTGGCTCCTCTAAGGAAACAAGGAACAAAAGGGAGGTAGGAGAGCACAGGGATGAGGAGAAGGGCTTCGGAATTAGACAGACAGAGCACTGTGTTCTCCTTTGCCCTTTACTAGTCATGTGACGCCCGGTAAAAGCGAATGGTGGGGTTTTCGTGCCCTCTTGACCCCAGTTTCCTCATTTGTAAATGTGGATATTGATCATATTTATGTCTTAGCGTTGTGGTAGGTTTTAAATGAGATAGTTCATGAAAAGTACTTGGCGTAATATCTGGAAAATAGTAAGTGCTTAGTAAAGGTTAGATGATGATGATGATGATGATGATAATAATAGTAAAAACGTAAAACAAATTTTGTGATGTGTAACACACCTTGGTTTTAAAAGGGTATGTTTGGAAGTTAACTCTCAGGTATGCATAAGACAAAGAGACAGGAATATGTAACTCAAATCTGTAGAGAATTGAGACTTCGGGCTAAAGTCAGGCATTGCCCATTTTTTTAAGGTTTATTTTTGTTTATTGATTTTTGAGGGGGGAGAGAGAAAGGAAGAGAGAGAAAGAAACATCAGTTTGTGGTTGTACTTATTTATGCATTTATTGGTTGATTCTTTTCTTTTTCTTTCTTTCTTTTTTTTGTTGGTTGATTCTTACATGTGCCCTGACCAGGGATCACGCCTGCAATTTTGGTGAATCAGGATGATGCTGTCACCAACCAAGGTACCCGGCCAGGGCCAGGCATTACCCATTTTATTTCTGGGAAATGGATGGGGGCGGACGGGGATTTAGTAGTCTGCTATGGGCTTTGCACTGTGACGATGGACAAAAACAACAAATAATTACAGCAGAAATTTATTGTTTACTATATACCAGGCCATTTTTATGCATTTCCACTTAATTTTAATAAAATCTTACTATTATTGGCTCTGTTGTTGAGGAAACAGGTACTGCTGGTGATGGCAGAGCCTGTGTTTGAACCCGTGTCCACCTGACTCCAGGGTCTGTGCCGTGCAGTACTGCTCTAGCTGGGGCAGGGCCATGGTCCAACCTTTCCGGGAAAGTGTTACTGATTTTGCTGCCACAGACAGCTGCACACAGTCCTTTGTAAGCCGGGTGTGTGTGGAGTGATTCCCATGATTTACTGATAGTCGTGTGGGTCTTGTCTCTCCAGTTCTTGTAGACACTGCAGTGGTTATCCAGTGACCCATGCAAAACTCAGTTCCTGCCACAACCACCCTGCAGCTCAAGCCATGTTATAAGTGAAGCGTGGAGGGGAGCAGAGAAGGGGCCCACACATCCTCCAACTTCCCTGGTTTACACGGCACATCAGGGGAGTTGGCTCCCAGACTTTTGAATTTTATAGACTGGTAAAATTTTAGAAAATGGGTAGCCTAATTAAGGGTTGTTAATGTGTCAGATAAGGTCCTTAAAAAGCCCAACTACCATCTAATTATTCCCAATCATTTATAAAATAGATAATATCCTAACACCCCCAGAGTTGGACAGGACACGAATGCAGAATAAAGCGGTCATTTACACTGAATAGGTTTAGCTTTGGGAAAACCCTCATGCACTGTGCTGTGTTTATCACCCCACTGCCGGACGTGAAGACGTTCTGAGGGTCTGACCCAGTGAGTGGAGGCAGTCTGGGGAGCCGCTGCGCTGGTGTGGCCTGCTATATTAGCACCACGGAGGGCAGCTTGTCTCACACTCCCACTGTGACACCTGAGTCACTCAGACGGTGGCGAAGGAGGAAACCAGGCTGCAGTAAGGAGCTATAATTCAGTGGGCCCCACAGTGTTAGCGAGCACTGCCCAGGTACCTGCCAGAAAAATGTGGGCTTCCACAGTGGGGGGGGAGGAAAACGAATGTTTAGTGTCCAAGTTACTAGTGTAACTGTTGCACTAATGTAGTATATATTGGTACTGTATTCCCTGTCATTGCTGAATAATATTCCAGGTGATCTTAAGAGGAAAGCCTCAGTTGTTTCTGATAAGCCAGCTGATAATTTTATTGGGGATCCTTTGTAAGCGACAAATCGAAGTTCTCTTCTGCTTTCAAGGTTTCCTCCTTGTGTTAGGCTTTAGTATTTTGACCACGATGTGACTTTCATAAACCTCTTTGCTTTTATTTTACTTGCACTTCACTGGTATACTAGGTGTATAAATAATGCTTTTCAATAAGTTTGGCAAGTTTTCAGCCGATATTTACTACTTGTTTGCACTCCTCTCTGTCCTCCCTTCCCGGTACTCCCATTATACGTATGCTAGCGTGCTGACGGCGCCCCAGCTTTCTCTGAGGCTGTTTGTTCTCCTTCATTCTTTTCTCCCTCTGTACAGGTCACTCTTTCATGTTGCTTTGGATGTTTCATATTTCTTATTTGCAAATTAGACATTTTAGATACTGTCTTGTGGCATCTGGATACTGACCTCCCTACCCCCAGGTTGCTTGTTCAGTGACTTACATGGCTTGTTCGGAGAAGCCCATTTCCCTTGTAGTGCCTCTGATGTTGCTTCTCACAGGTACATTGTTGCGCACCTGTACAGCCACCCTGTGAGGACAGGGGTCTTGGTGGGCTCCGATTTTCTTCCCGATCTTGCTGTGAAGCTGTCTGCTTCTGTTGGCATCAAACCGAGCTGTGAGGTCCCTGTAATTGTCAGCAGACGGCTCTGCTGTTTTTGATGATTCCCTGTGGTATCAGTTGCTCCATGGATTGATCTGATTCAATCCAGCCCCTTATTAGTGTAGTTTTTGGGGCCAGTCTTTTGAGATTAGTCTCGTTTTGACCCCAGGAGGGCTCTTCTTAGCTCTCTGCTTCCCTGGTTCTCTCTTTCCCTGGATTGCTCTGATGAACTAGCTTGGTTTAGTTTACTGTGCTTGTGGAGCTGCTCCCACTGTTCCTACCTTTCTTCATTTGCTGTGTGCTCTGGAAATTTTCCAGGGCCTTCAGACGTTTGTATTAGTAATTGCCCCAGTTCTGGCAGTTTTGCTGGAGAGTGGTTCTGTGGAGCTTCTCACACCACCACTTTCTCAGCCATCCACTTGGCCCCCATGATGTTTACTTTCTGATATTTGTGTCCTTTTGCGGTCTCCTCCCACACTGGATAGGGCTGACCTGTCTGACCATTAGGATATGGCAGACACAGCAGAGTGACAGAGTGTGACTTTCAAAGCCAGATCATAGAGACACTGCAGCTTCTTCTCTGTTACTCCCACCTGGGTTCCTTGCTCTGGGGGAAGCCAGCTGTCTTGTCATGAGGACAGGTAGTCCCCACAGCAAGGAACTGAAGCCTCCTTCCAACAACTGGTATAATGTGCCAGGCATGCGAGTGCGCTGCCTTGAGAGCAGGTCCTCTGGCACTTCAAGCCTTCAGAGGACTCCAGAGGACTGGCTAACCTAGACTGCAACCTCATCAGAGATGCCACGCCAGAACTACCTAACTGAGCTGCTCCAGGATTCCTGACCCACAGAAACTGTGACGTAATACACGCTTATTTTTCGAGCTATTAAAGTTTGGGTAATTTGTTATGAAGCAACAGTAATTAAAACACGATCTTGTGCAAGACTTTCTCTTTTATATTCTTCAGTTTCTTTGCCTGAAAAACGTGGTTGGATTTATGGTTTGTGGCCGCCCTGAGATTTCCCAGGGCTGGCCAACTGGCCCTGTAGGGGGCAGAGGTGAGCCAAGTGGGCCTCGGGCTCCAACCAGAGCAGCTCCGTCTTTATATCTTTTATAACCAGGCTTCAAAATAAGATTTGATTTGAGATATGAGTCTGTTTTCATTATCTTTTTGTTAGGTTTTTAAAAATATATCTTGTGAGTTTTTAAATCGTACATGCTTATTTCAGTTAGTTTTCCATTTTAAAATGGGCATTCCAAAAGGTCCTATATTTCCAGTGTCCTTGAGCATAGCGTGTAAGGAGTGTTTCACAATAACCCTCTAATTGTGCAGAGGGAAAACTCAGACCCAGAGAGGGGAAGGGACTTCTCCAGGGACACTAGTAATTTAGTGACCAAGTGATACAGGAATATGGGCATCCTGACCTCCAGAAGGGATCATCTATGCTAATAAAATGGAGCTACAATAAAAAAAGGTATTCTAAAAAATAAAGCTTCAAAAAGGAAAGAACAGAACTGACTTTGTTAAGGTGCAGGAGGAAGAAATGTAAAGCAACAAATACAAGACTCTTGGAACATGCTATCCTATAGGAAAGTTGGCTTGCTCATAAAGATAAATCACAGAACAGCAGAGATTAGTGTTGGAAATCAAACAGAACTTATTACATAGCTGTCTGGCATACTTAGCCATTATTGTGTAGTGTGGCCACCAGGCAATTAACGGAGTCCCAGTGGGGTGCTAGGCAGAGCTGGGGCCGGGACACAGAGGTGAGCCATACCGTGCGTGGCAGCTGCCTCAAGGGTGTGTGGAGGAATTCGGTCCTCCACAGAATTACCCCAGATCAGAAATTATCAATCGTTAGCTTCTCTAACAGACACAACTGAGGAGGAACTTTATTACAAGTACATAAATATGTATGTATGTGTGCCTATATGTATGTATGTATATTTGGCATTATTTGATGTTAAAATAAAAAAAAGATAGTTGCTAGTAGTGAAAAACAAGTAGATTTCATAGAGGGTCTGGGTTTCTGGTCTCTCTTGAATAATTGGCAGTGTTGCGTGGGGGCCGTTGGCTAGAGGTGCGGCAGATCTCCTGCAGCCTCCCCGCCCCACTCTTTGTTTCTCTTCGGAGACCACATGCTGGCTGCCCTCCATCTCTGTCCTTGTGATGTTATTTTCCTTACATTTCACTGCGCTCACTTATTTACCTGCCTGGTCCCTGGCGGAATACGATATTGAGACCCCCTCCACTCATGGACTGTTTCCCTCCCCTCCCTCCCTCCCACGCAGAACTCACTGGAGGCGTGGCGTTTGACTTGGACTTGCGGATCCACGCGATGGGACTTCTCACTGCAGGAGGAGGCGTGGCGCTTCACCTGGGCCCCAGTGGGCCGTTCCAGCTTGTCGTCCTGGGTGGGAGATGGAGGAAGGTGAGGAAGTGCCGGGAGGCTCCGAGTCATCCACACGGGTGTGCGTGCTCTGGTCGTGCTCAGTGGGTGAGGGCGGGGGACCTCTGCGTTCCTGGCCTTGCATGTTTAAACTGGTGCAGCAAGGAACAGCTTATAAACCACTTACACTAGCAGCATTCCACTGGGTCCTCACACCAGCCTGTGGAGGGGGGGTGGGGGCCGCCGAAGACAACCCTAAATTGTAACATCTGCTGAGAGGAAAGTTAAGAAGTCTGAAAAGATCATGGGAGATCATGTATAATTTCTCTTAGATAGTTTGTCCTCACCTTATTTCAAAGCATCCTTAAAGTCTCTTGAATTGTTTAAAAAAAAAAGGTCATGGATGGGATCAGCCTACTGTAGAAGTTATACAACTTAGACTGACAATACATTTGTTCCTGAAGAGTATTAGGAACTTTCAAAATTCTGTCAAAGTTCAGGAGCCATGAGCAGAATACGATATTTATATAACATAATAATGATATTGGTAACAGCAGTATGATTTATTTTTGTGTATAAGACCTTTCTGTCCAGGCACTGTGCTAAGTTCTTTCCTTAAAATACTTCACTTACTTCTTGCAATAGTCCAAACAGGTAGGTTTTATCATATCCATTTGAAGCCTGAAAGTGAGGACCATAGACTGAGCTGAAGGTAACCCAGACTGAGCCATGAGTCCAAAGTCTGCATCCTCAAGTACTAAGCTGTCTTGCTACTAAATTCCGCAACTGAGAAAGAGCTCAAGCTGCCTCTACTGGTGCATTGGTGTCTGAAGAAAGACCATGTAAAGGGAGTCCTAGAGGCCTGAGCTCAGAGTATCATCTAGCACTGTCCAAGGCAGGGGTCCTGCCATAGCTACTTTTCTAGGCAGCTTGATTTTTCCCCTCCCCTACCTACCTGTCAGGTCTGATCCACCCACCAGCGTCTGATCAGCTGCTGGTTAAATCAAAACAATTTCTCTGAGGCAAAGGGAAAAAGGAGTATGGCGATGTGCTGCATACTGATGCTTCTGTCAGGGCATATACAGCAGTGGTCTCGTAAGATTATACTGGAGCTGAAAAGTCCCTGTTGCCTGGTGGCATCGCAGCTGTCTTAACATGGCAGTGCGATACATTGCTCACGTGTTTGTGGTGCTGCTGGTGTAAATAAACCTGCTTCGCCGCCAGTCTTATAAATGTGTATCACATACAGTTAGTTATGTCCGGTACATAGTACTGGACAGTTACAAATGACTAGGTTACTGGTTTTGTATTTACTGTACTTTTGTTATTTTAGGGTGTTCTCTTTCTACTTACAAGAAAAAGTGTGCCATAAAATAGTGTACCGTGTTACATCCGCAGCCTCATACATACATCTCGTGTTTGCTTCATCTCTCGATGACATCGTTTTCTCTTGTGCTTCATCTGATTTCCCTTTGTTTAGTAGAGTAACGTGCTACACAGGCTTGTAGCCTAGGAACAGTAGCCTGCACCGCGTAGCCCCGGCATGTAGTAGCTAGACCACCCAGGTTTGTGTAAGCGCATTGTGTGGCACTCACACAAGGATGACATTGCCCAATGATGCATTTCTCAGAATGTGCCCCTGGCATTAAGTGGGGCATGACTGTAGTGAGGGAAAGAGACAGGGAGAGCTAAGAAGTGGGCTTTGCCATGTTCCTGGGCAGCCCCAAGGGACCGTACCTGCGTCTTTTCATAAGGGACATCATCATAGATACGGGGCTCGGGCCATTGGTCCTGGCAAGATCTTGCATATCTAGAAAATATAAGGTATGATGCTGACGACACCCTGCAGCTTGCAGTGCTTGTATATGTACTCTCTCATTTGATTCTGGCAGCTGCTGACAATGGATAGTGGAAGGTTAGTCACAGCAACCACTGCCAGTAGCACTGGGCCATTGCAGTGTTAAGGGCTTTACGGGCAGGGATCCACATGATTCTCACAACAACCCAGGGGACAGGCAATGGGCATTCCAAAAGGAATGCCTCCACTACAGAATTGAGAAACAGAGGATCCAAGCTGGCCCGCAACCAGCCAAACTGTTGATTGTGATAGAGCTGACTCGGTTCTCCTAGTACCAAACTCTGCATACCAGCCCAGTGCCTGCCCACCCAGACGCTCAAGGGTGTGAGAACCTACGGCTTTGTGGCATCAGAGCAGAGCCCATGTCATCACAAAAAAGGCCTTCTCCACTTTCACTCGTTCCATCCACAGCTTTTGCTGACCTTGGGCTCCCTCCTTTAGCCGGCTCAGTCCTGCCTACTTGTGCCTACTTCTCAAGGCAGCAGAGCCCTCCTCAGACTTCCCTCCCATCGCCCCGGGTTGGACTCGTAGCCTCGGAGAGGGAGTTGAGATCGGAACTGTCCATGGCCGACACGAGCCTTGGGACGCTGACTCTTACAGGAAGGAGTTGCGCCCTGCACTGACAATGCTGGTCAAGGTCTCCACGTCCACGTAGTCGTAGTGCAGCTCCTCGGGAGTGACTCTGGAGCCCGTCTCCACCAGCAGCAGCCCAAGCCAGCGGCCCATGTCCTCTGAGCAGCTTGCCTGAGGGAGACAGGCACAAGCTGAGTTCACTCTGGCACTGTCGGGGTCTCTGGCTACCTCTCACTTCAGCCAAACCCATATCTATATGGTGCCTGTTATGCACCCGTTACTTAGGGATCCGAGGAGAACAAGTCTGCAACACGCACCCAGAAGTCCAAGCGGCTCCCGCTGTCTCTCTGTTCGTCTCTGCTCACTGTCCTCAGAGCCTTCCTGACCATTTCTATGTGAAGACAATGTTCCGGTGTTCCCCGAATTGTCTTTAAACACATTTACTTTTTATTAGAGAAGACTACTTCTCACGTAACACAATCGCATTTTTCTTGTATTATAATTGCCAATTATTTACAGGAAGATCTTCAAGAAATTGCTGGCCAACTAAATGCATATTTATGTTAGTTCTCACTTGAAGTCCAGGTTCAGACTTGGGATTTTTAGGATAAGGGAGCAAAAAGAAACCTTGGTTTCAGGGTGGCTAGATTTTGCAAATAAAAAGTAGAATGCTCTGTTAAATGCAAAGTTCAGAGACAGTCAATGAAGTTTTAGCTGTTATGTCCCAAATGTTGCCTGGCTTATCATATCAAAAACATCTGTTGCTTATCTGAAATTCAGACGTAAGTGGCTGTTCTGCACTTTAACTGGCAACTCTGCTTGATCACTTGGCAGCAGTTAGCTTCCTTTCCTTTCTTCCTCAGCCCCCACGTGGTCAGTAGCAAGGCCCCCCCCCCCCCCCCCCCCCCGGGGCAGAAGCCAACACCCGGGCCAGTGCTCCCTTCAGCTCCCACTACCCAGGGCTGCCTGGATCCTCCCCTCTCACCTCCAAGATGGTAACCTCCTGTCGGTTGCGCAGGATTCTGAAGGCAAATGGGTGTCTGGGCCCAAAGCCCGGGACCACCTCACAGCCGCGGAGGGCAATGGCATTCACGTGGGTCCGAAGGTCTGTGCGGTCCTTGTGGAAGTACAGAGTGTTGTGCTTCAGGCGGCACCAGCGCTCCTTCCAGCCGTGGTTCACCAGCACGTTCAGATACCCTGGGGCAGGAGACCAGCAGTGTGACCTCCCCACAGCCCAGCCATGAGGATCCCCATGGTGGGGCATGCGTGGGTCTGGACCCCAGGGACACAGCGCCCGGGCGGCCCTGGTTCTCTAGCTGGAAGGCCTCCTAGAGCACTCCCTCCTGGCCTGTGATCTCGGGCATCTTCTCTGAGTTCCAGTTTCCGTCTGTGAAATGGGGCTCACGATCACACATGCACATTTCCACGCAGCCTTGGAGTCATGCCAAGTTGATGAAAAGGGCAGGGGCTGCTATGTGCAATACACAAAAGACAACTCTCCCTTTCTCCAAGTTATCAAAACTATTAATGAGGATAGAAAATAGTGGGCGATGCTGACACCTGGTGGCAGCATGCGGGAATAAAAACATCTAACCAAGGAAAGAATTGTTAAATGGGGTAGGTACAGTCTGTTTGGAATTCCCTGTTAACCTTTTAGATTCACATTTATTTTTACCATAATATGACCTGATTCGCTGCTTACAAAATATTTCTGTATAGCCTTGTGCCTTTATAATATTCTTTCAGGGTTAGAATACTACTCTATATCTAAAATAAATGATTTTCTATTGAATGCCAGCATATGGAACACTGCATTTAAATGAACAAAATAATGTTTTCCCTCTCAAACCACTTTTAACTCAGATGGAATGCATTTATAATAAAAAGTACTTAATATTTTTATCCAAGAAATTTCCTCGTAAGTCTGGGTGGTAACTTACACATCTGGCATGTTCTGTGCTGAGAAATAAGACACTCTCATCGGAGTGGAGGAAACTGAGGCTCAGAAACAGGTAATGATGGGAGTTAGGGCCACGGTAACATGGAAACATGGGAGCCAGCTGGCTTTTCTTTTTGCTGAGCACCAGGGCCTCTTGGGGAGAGAAGTGGTTAGAAGGACATGGACCGTCGATGGGGTGGAGGTTAGCTCTGTAGGGGGAGCATTCTCTCCTCTGCCCTGGGGGCAAGGCAGATGAGGCCTGGAGGGCATCCTGGCCTGTGCTTGGTGGCCTGTGTTCACAGGTGCCGAATTCTCCTTGGCAGGCCTGGTACCCACCACAGCAGGGAACCTCCTCTTCCGTGGAGGACGCCTGCAGGTCATCGGCCAGCGCCTTCCTCTTGGAGAAGCTGATGATGCGGGTGATCTTGCGGCCTGCAGCCCTGCTCACTGAACCCTTCAGCTCTGCCAGGCTGCTCTTCTTCCCTTTGCCTGTTGCTGCAGACATGTGTCAGAGGGGGGAGGGAGCCCTAAGTCCCAGGCCTGCCCACCTCTAGCCTTCCCAGAGTCCCTTTCAGCCTATACACCAGGGCCCGGCCCACAGCTCCGGATGTGGGCAGGTTAGGTCACCTCACCCAGGTCTCCAGAGTGGGCAGGACCTGCTCTGCGCTGCAT